CCTGCACTACCCATGGAATAACAAGCTTTTTCAGTGCAATCAGACAAATACAGATCTCTGCTAAATATGCACGGAAGGCAGATAATTCAGACAATTTAGCTCCTCGAAAACAGATGTTAAGCAACTAACCTAAAAGGCAATGTTTACACAGACACTTAAGATGAGCTTATGGTCAACATTTGAGAATGAAAGAGAAAAAAGTACTTAATCAGGCATAAATTTCTTTAGCATAGAGCAATGGCATGTGCACATGTACATACAGCACCTGCCTAAAGTCAGTACTATGATCAAGTTGGCATAACTGGGTGTGCTTGAGTGGTAAAGCAAGCTGGTGCCTCACCTTCTGCAAGGAGCTGCCCTCAGCTGAAAAGCATATGCATTACAATGGGGTTAAGAGCATTCAATCTATATGTTTTGCTAAAATTCACAAAGATGATTGATACAGCTAACAGCTTTGATGGACATTAGAACTATAACACATTTTCAATGAGGACTAGAACAAAAATAGATTAATAATTTTCTTTCAAGGCAGCCTATACAGATATGCAGTACAGCTAGATAATCCTGCAATGCAGGATCAAATACTTATGAAAAAAAATATAAAAATCAATGGAAGTCCATAAACTAACTTTCTCAAGTCAGACTCTTAGATTACGACCTCTGTCACCTGTTCAGGACAGTGACCCAACTCAACAGAATAAAGCTGCCATTTTCTAATTACAGCTGAGCCTGTAGCAGAGGGAACTCTGATAAACAATCTTGATCAACAAGAATAGCAGAAATGTCAAAGGAATCTTACTGAACCAAGAAAGAATTGTTTGCCCACTTCACTCATCGATTTGCATCCACATTCAGATGCAAGATTATATATTCCAGGTTGTAAACTTACTTCAAGAAATCCTAATTGCTCTGATTTACCTAGAGAAATCTAATGATGGAAAAGTTTATCTACTTTCATGCTGTAACAAATAAGAATCATTGCAAGCATCTATTCTCTGCTCACGGAGATCTTAGAATGACAGTTGCACAACACACCCCATCTGCATGTTTTTGCAGAACACACAGGATGGTTGAGGTTTCCTTTTACATTTTTTTCCCACTATATTTTAGATTTTCACATTATTCTAGTCCTCTGAATAAAGAGAAATAGGAGTGGGCCTGTTTCTTGTGAGATTAATGAGGCATTGTCCCTGACTATACAGTGCCATTGAGTAAAGAGTATCTACCAGCTCCTTAGCCCATGGACACCAGGTAAGTTATTTCAAGTCAGTAAAACTGTGAAGCTTTAAGCTAAGCTCTCTATTCAGAGAGTTAACGTGGATCACTCCTGACTACTGCACACAGCTGTGCACACACCTCATTTACAAATTAAACTTTACTTCTGCTTTCTACCTCCTTTCTCCATCTGTCCTCTGCTACTTAAAACACTTCATCCATCCTCTTTTCTTTCATAAGTTTTTGGCAAATGCCTGAGATAAGCAATTATTATCATTGACACCTAATCACAGCAGCCTAATGCACAGCTTACAAAACACAATACTAATATATGCAGAGAACACAAAGTTACAGGATCAGTCTTATCTGCTCTGCAACCCAGTGTATGAAATATAAATAAATAAAAATGTCTCTGATACTGCTCATTTCTCATTCATTCAAGCAGACCCATTAGGACATCTCATCTCTTATCACATCAGTGAACAGTTGCACTATTTGTAAGGCAAGACCATCGAAAACATCCTCTAATGCAGGTGGACTGAGCTAAGAGTTCTTCCTGCTCTGCTCCCTCCCAGTCCATTTTAGGATTCCAGTGGTGCTGCACGCCTACTGCAATATCTCCAATGTCTTCCTCCAAACCATCTATCCCAGTAACAGCAGCACATCCTCTCAACTACATCCTTCTCAACATGTAACTGCCATATCTTTTCCTCTTTCTTCTGCTTTTAGGAAGCAGAACAAGAGATGCTCCTAATGCACGGGAAATTTATCTTTCCAGGTCTTGCAGGTCTAAAGACTACTGCCAACCCATCATTACAATGTCATGCACTACAGGAGATAACAACAAGTGGAGGTCCAAATTGTCCTTAGTTAAACCAGGCATGTTCATGTGGTCCGTATGCTTATAATGCTGTGTCTTCAAGGAGACCTTAAAGGCATTATAAGCAGAGCATGAATTTGGATTCCTTTGCATCATTTAACTCGAACCATCAATCACAGTCTTTAAATCATGCACTGAAGGGCATGAGATTAGTCCTTACACTGTGCATTAAAGGGCATTAGATTCTAGTATGTGTTAGGTGGAGCAGTAAACAAACATTTGCATTGCCTAAAGGATGGCCTGGGTATCCTGAGGTTGGCTGAGTATATTCACTCTAGCTGCAGCAATGACAGCTGATCAAGGGAGACTTTGCCCTTGCCCAAATGAGTGATGAGGGCCAACAAACCATACAATATAAAAGGCTGAAACTCTTCCAGTACCAAGGACTGACTGCCAGATCCTGACCTGACCCTGACATATAAGAAGACGCCATTCATTGCTGGCCACACCTGAGCTAGACTTCAATCAGAAAAGCACAAAACAGGTGATTAATTTTGCATGTGTAAGCTATACCATTAGACTCAGCACCCTGTGGACTCTTGCTGCATTGGCATTGAAACTGTAATACAGTAATTACATCTGGTCAACCAGACACTTCCTACACAAAATGGGTATTTATAAGACTTAAAATTCTCAAGGGCTTTTACCTTCAGCCTTCCCAGTGTCAATTTCTATTCACAAAATTGCCTTAATTTCAAATTATGTTGTTCATTTTAGTTTCAAACCACCTACCTGACACATAAATAGCTCTTATTAGTGTACACAGAGTGGTCCTGACTTTTACTGGTTCAAAATCAGCAGAAACAACTGCATGGGTCTGCAGAGAGTCCTCTTTTTTACAGGGCGAATTTTTCCTGGGGGCTGTGTGCCTCAACTCATTCAGTAGTTTTGAGGGGAGAAAAATGAATATGTGAAGCACAGTGAGGAACAGCCTTTTACAAAGCAATCACCAGCCCACCAAACTAAACTCCAGCTTCACTTCGCCATGAGGTTTGCTGAACCTCAAGGTAGAATCCCAGACTTGAGCAGCAAGATCACCTCACTTCTTGGTCTTCAGCTGAACAGGACCCAAAATATACAAACACCAACTACAGAAGGCATCCACTACTCAAAGTTAGCTCTGAGTGGTATAAAATGACATTTTGATAAAGTACACCAGGGATATGGCTCAAGCTTCTGTTAAATCTTGAACAGCAGGAACCTTATTAATCTTTGGTTTCACAGCAGTCTCCTTCTGCTGGCACCTTTACTTCCTGACACCTCAGTCTTCTGAGAGTTAATGACTGGCAAAACAAGCATTGCCAAATCTGAAGGACTTTATTTCCAATTTAAACCCAAATCAACTTGAGACTTCAGATCATCAGTACCTCCAGGGTAGATATTTGGAGTAGATAGCTACCAAAGCTGAGTAAAACATAATTCAAGGGTACACTGCAAAAGATGGCTACATAGACCCCTCCCTCTTCCCTGAAGAGTTCATGGAAACCCACACCACCACTAATCACTCCATTCTTGCAGGTCTCATAGAATCATAGAATCATAGAATAGTTAGGGTTGGAAAGGACCTTAAGATCATCAAGTTCCAACCCCCCTGCCATGGGCAGGGACACCTCACTCTAAACCATGTCACCCAAGGCCTCGTCCAACCTGGCCTTGAACACTGCCAGGGATTAAGCATTCACAACCTCCCTGGGCAACCTATTCCAGTGCCTCAGCACCCTAACAGGAAAGAATTTCCTCCTTATATCCAATCTAAACTTCCTCTGTTTAAGTTTTAACCCATTACCCCTTGTCCTATCACTACAGTACCTAATGAAGAGTCCATCCCCAGCATCCCTATAGGCCCCCTTCAGGTACTGGAAGGCTGCTATGAGGTCTCCATGCAGCCTTTGCTTCTCCAGACTGAACAGTCCCAACTTTCTCAGCCGATCTTCATATGGGAGGTGCTCCAGTCCCCTGATCATTCTCATGGCCCTCCTCTGGACTTGTTCCAACAGATCCATGTCCTTTTTATGCTGAGGACACCAGAACTGCACACAGTACTCCAAGTGAGGTCTCAGGAGAGCAGAATAAAGGGGCAGGATCACCTCCTTCAACCTGCTGGTCATGCTCCTTTTGATGCAGCCCAGGATACGGTTGGCTTTCTGGGCTGCAAGCGCACACTGCCAGCTCATGTTCATTTTCTCATTGACCAACACCCCCAAGTCCTTCTCCACAGGGCTGCTCTGAATCTCTTCTCTGCCCAGCCTGTAGCTGTGCCTGGGATTGCTCTGACCCAGGTGTAGGACCTTGCACTTGGCATGGTTGAACTTCATGAGGTTGGCATCAGCCCACCTCACAAGCGTGTCAAGGTCCCTCTGGATGGCATTCCTTCCCTCCAGCGTATCAACCGAACCACACAGCTTGGTGTCATCGGCAAACTTGCTGAGGGTGAACTCAATCCCACTGTCCACGTCAGCAATGAAGATGTTGAACAAGACCGGTCCCAACACAGATCCCTGAGGGACACCACTCGTTATAGGTCTCCAGCCGGACACTGAGCACAACTGTTTGTGTGCGGCCATCCAGCCAGTTCTTTATCCACTGAGTGGTCCATTCATCAAATTGATGTCTCTCCAATTTAGAGACAAGAATGTCGTGTGGGACAGTGTTGAACGCTTTACACAAATCCAGGTAGATGACATCAACTGCTTTACCGCTGGGTAAAGGGCAAGTTGAAAGCATGGTTAGGAATGATCTAGCAGCTCCTTAGAGCTATTAAAGACCTATTCAAACATAACTGACATCTCATCCATGTCAAGTGGGCAACTTCTATTGAAATACAGGACACTGTGACATGCATTGTGAATAGCACCAGAACCTTAAGACAGCAAACACTGCAATGGCATAGTGGCTTAATACTCACACTCAGCAGGAGGCACTTGTTTTCTTTGATGGCGCCTATGCAACCCACGAAGCCAATGATCATGACAAATGTCCCTGTGACAATCAGTAGGTTGGCAGCTGACAGGGACGGGAAAGAAGAAGAGAGGGTGGCAAAATTCCCTTGGGTAACAGCCAGCCAGATGCCTACTCCAAGGATTCCACAGCCTCCTAACTGGGAAAATAAAAAGAAACAAAGAAATTAAGTTATTGTATCCAAGCAGCCCAGATATTCATCCATACCAATATGGCAGCAGTCACATTTAATGGAAAATAATCTCTCCCTATGGCCATTCAGTAGGGAAAACACACAAAGGAGAAAGAAAAAAAAAAAAAAGTCATAGAGGGGGAACCCCTCGGTAACACTCATGACCCAAATTTCCCAAATTGAAGACACACCTTCAAATATCAGGTCTTTCTCTTTAGTGAAAAAACAGAAATTCCCAAAACCAAGAAATTCCCAAAGAGTCAGATCCCAAAGGGATTGAAAAAAACCCATATTCTATATTGGTACCTCAGAGAGATGATCAATGAAGCTCTTTTGATGCCCTGCTCTTCCCATCTAATACATTTTCTCCCATCCCTGCCACATGCCATAAATAAATCTTGTCAAAGCATCCCCTGTTAGGACACCTCACACCTCTTCTTAGTTCCTGTCCAAGGCCTATCCTCCCTCAGAAGCAAAAGAGCATTTAAGTGTAAAGGGGCAGAGAAGGAAGGAGTATCCTCCTGTAGCAAAAAAACCCAAACATGATGTTTACTCCTAATGTGGCTACTAGTTTGGCAATTCAATCCTCAGGAGACTTGGCTGGTTTAGGAAAGGTTTGAGAGCAGGCTCCCCAGGCACGAAGCAAGTAGAAGGGAGGATCCCAGTGCAGGCAGCAGCCACCAGTAACCCATAAAATTTGCAATTATTATATACACAAAGAACTTTTAAAAAACGCAAACATTTATGAGCATGCTGCTTATAATTGCGAGAAAGCCTGCAGAATTGTAACAATCTGAGAAAAGCTGAGCAATTAAACAGAATTAAACCAAAGGGGATTTTGCATTATTATACAGTCACAGCAGAGCATCACTTAGGTTTCTTTCTTTCTTGCTCTCCCTTTAAAATAACCAATTTTTACTGAGTTTTATAATTGGACTTTATTATCCAAATCAATTAAAGGCTAAGAAAGAAACTGTATTCATAGAGTAGTAAGCTAGACATAGGAGCATATCAATTAAATGTCTGCATAAAGTGGATGAACATAAGGCAGCTCATGAACCAGGGAAGGAAAAAGATAGAGCTAATCCTGGGGCAGAGCTAAGCCTCAGAAATGAAACAGAAGAGAAACACAAAAGCCAAAGCAATTTCTTGTACTAATTGCTAAGGTTGCCCCTGCATGCCACTGAATTCCCCCTCAATAAGGACAATAAAGGCAGCTGTGTCTCAAGGCAGGACTCCTCACCCCAGCTGCAAACCAGTCTATTAGTTCAGAACTAAAGAATGCAACAATACCTCACTGAAATGTATGTCAGCTGCAACAATATATGTATCTCCATGGAGAGAAGGCAGATTCCAGCACACAGGGACTCAAATCATCTCATTCAGCAGCCTTTTCATATACAGTCATCCCATATCACCATATTCACCCTTTTGCATAGTACTCTCTATAAACACTACAAAGGGACAGTCTATTCCCTGGCCATATACACTGGAAATAGCTCCCCTCTATGCCCACTTATGGACCACGATCTGAAACATGATTGAAGAATAACCAGGGGAGAGGAGGAAGAATACTTAGAGCAGATAATCCACAGAAAATCATTTAGGGTAACAGAGGAGGTATAAACAAAAGCTATCAAGATGGCCCAAGGGAAAAATGTTTAAAAAAACCCACCAAAACAAAAAAAGGAACAAATTCCTTAAAATGGAATAAAACTCTCAAGGTCAACTGGACTACAGAATAGCATCAAAGGAGAGGTGCAAGACACTCAAGTTAAAACCAAACCGGTCGAAGTGCTGACATACAGTCAGCACTAAATTGCACATTTAGACATATATAGACATACAGTCGCACAATAGACATACATAGCACTAAACTGGCAGAATGGGATTGGACAGCACAACTGCACTTCTGCCACTGCAGCCTGGTGGAGGTTCTGCCTCAAAGCAACAGGCAGTGAGGCCGCACAAATGGGCCAGTTAAGCCTAATGAGGGCACGTGCCCAGTGGCAGCAAAGGTATCACCTTGCAATATGTTTAGCTATTACCTTTAGTTCCCTGTTCTGAAGCAATTCAACAGCACGAATAAAAGGCAGCTTATTTCATCACCTTTTGTGCTTCCCGTGTTGCTACAATGCTTTGAGTGATAGTGACACCTACAACTATCATTCCTATTATGGAAGGTGGGTCTCGCCAAGGACACTGCTGTTTTCAATAACAAAACCTGCTTGCCTGCTCCTCCACTGCCCATTAAATTCCTTATGATGTACAATGAATAATGCTTGAGACAACACTGCCCTTAGGACATTTGATTCCAGCGTCTGCTCCCTCCAAAGTAATTCTTGTCTGCTGAAACTGGGAGTTCATGAGTAGCACAAAACTTCACAAAAACAGGAGATGGTTCATTCAAAATGCTGTGACAGCCATTTAGATCAGGGCTGAACATTTCAGGGCAGCTGGTCAGCAGGAGTATCTCACTACGTTGCCCTTAATTCAGAGACAATCTAATGTACATCAGGCTCTCCAGCAGCTCATTATCTTCCTATTTTTGAAGAGCACAGCTCTTCCGTAGATTGATTAACCAAATCCTGAAATGCACAAAGGGATTCTTTGAGCATTAAATCATCCAATTGAAACTGGATTTCACAAAGTGCTGCTTAGGAAACGTCAGCACACACTACTGAGGGCTGTTCCGCCCTAGTACAGCCCTGTTTCTTTTCCCACAGCAGAACATCCCTTCATGGTTCTTAAAGTCACTGAAGAGTCACACCAGGCCCTGGGAAACAGAGGCTACCGTTAACTCTAGTGTAAACTGCTCCTTAAGGCCCCCTTTGTGCCAAGGGGTGAAGCACACCTGTAAGTCTCTGTCCAATGACCATTATAATACTCAAGCACCTGTCTAAGGAAAAGCTTAAAGGAACAAAGACCCACCAAGAGAGCCATAGGAGAATTTCCAACTATAGCAGAATATTTTCTGTTCTCAAACATTCAAAAAGCTCGGTCCTCCTCCCACCCCTGCAGAACCGAACAGCAGAGTAATTCCCAGCCTAAGGTGCAGGGATCAGAGGGCTTACATTTATTTATTTTGGATCAGAGCAAAAGAAAACTGTTGTAGTTGGTTCTATGCTGCCTATCTGTTTTGATTTCTTCATCTTGCTATATAAGGAGCTGTTAAGTTACAGATAATTTTACTTAGTTATTTATGATGTTCCCTTTCCCCCACTTCTTCTCTCCCTACCCCATCCCCAACCCCCAAGTCCCTGTTTGTGCCAAACAGTCAGAAGCAGAGTGATGAGATGGCAAGTCTTCACAGCTTTCAGGGCTTGCTGAGATGTGAAATTAAACAAAATCAAAGCCATTAACAGGGCTACTCTTGACAATTTGGGGGCTGACGTACAAGCAGTGAGGCTGTCATGGTTAAAAGAGAAAACATGAAACCAAAAATATGAGCAAGAAGTCTGCAGCTTGAATCTCATCCATTGGCAGTAAAATACGAGTCTGTATTGACTCCATGTGGTGAGTGCAGGGTTGACTTTTTAAAAGTAAAAAACAAATCCTTCTCAACGATTTCAGGCTACTGACAACAGCACTTTTTTAAATTCCCTTGGGAATTGTTTAACACATTGTTTGCCTAACTGCTCATAATAATCCCCTCTCCTGCAGGCAAGGCAGCTCTTGTCACAATCTGAAACAAAATGTGGCTTCTAACATATTTTTTTATAATAAATGTTGTATTTTTTGTAAAATCTTTCATTCTAAGGTCAAAATAGGGGACATCAGAAAGGATAGTTATCATAGCCCTAAGATTTAAGAGATTTAAGTGTCTGCTCCAGGACAAACTCAGTGTAAATCTCAAATATGCCTGAGTTTCTGAAATAGTGAGTACAGACACACAAGTAATGGGTTCTTTGCAAAACCCTGGACTTCGCAATTGGTTGTTGAAGGAGTATTTTATTCTGCTCAGGACAAATTTCTCATAGGTACTTACAGAGCAGAGTCAAGCAGTAAAGCAGGTGGTTTACCCTAAAAGCATAGATTCCGTCTCTATCTCCTTCCCCAAGGGATACACAGACATGTGTGCACTCCCTCTCTTGGCACAAAAGCTGCCTATGGAATTAGATCCTCCAAATTGTTCTAATGGGCTAGAAAATAAATTATTCAAACTTCAGTGCATACACTTAGAATTGATCTTACAGTATGGTAAACAAAGTAATCCCAAACAGCCCTAGATATATGCATGTTGCTGGAGAAAATTATTCTGAAGTTACAGCTATGCACTTAAAACACTGCAGGAGAAATTGCCTCATTGTTCATGATAATGGTATTGGTGTCTTTAAGTGGGTTTTTATTGGTTTTATTACACAGAAAATGCATCTAATTGAGGCTTCTCAGATTGTATCTGATTAGGATCTACCCATCATACTTCCTCTTTTAGATAAAAAAAATACACTGATAAAAGAATCCAAGTGGAAAGTATGACCAGTTGTTTTGTAGTTAAACTAACTCACTTGAGAGTTTTTCTCACCAGCCTCCACATATTTAAACGAGGAGGGCTTTCTCAATCCCACTTGCTATTCAGTTACTCCTGTATGAATATGGTTCCTCCTCCAACTATGGGGTAAGAGTATACAATAGAAAAACAACATCCAAGCATTAATAATAACGATGTGAACATCATCCAGCAGATGTTCTTGTAATGTAAGGCATACTTAAGCTGCTGTTCCTTTCAGCTAGACATAGAGAAGAGGTGAAAATGGAATGCATACATGCATTGACAGGATCAAATGAATCAAGGAATTTACATGGAAAAAGCAGGGTTGTGTGCTAAAGCAGAGACTACAGCACTCTATGCAAGCATATATAAACAAATGCAAACAACCTGTTGGTGTAGCCGTTGCCTATCTTGGAGGAAGGAGCAGCCACTTCTGGAGAACACCTTCAAAGACACTAGCTACTTCTGGAACACA